CAACCCCCTCCACTGTGATATTCACGTTGATGACTGGTATCCTGTCAGTTGTATGGAAATCTCAGTTTCAAGGGCCCACCCAGAGAGGCTTCTGAACTTTAACCCAGAAACGCGCAAAGACTCGCTGGTACATCTCTATTCTACATGTTCTGGATGGGTGTTTCTTGTGCGCGAAATATTTTCTTCAAGACTCAAAATATCTTTATCAATAAATGGCTGTCTATCTGTCTGTTTACGTGCCTATTTGTCTGATTCTCTGTCTGTCAGTTGTTTTTGGATCTGTCTGTCTGTTTGCCTGTCCGTCTATTTATCTGTCTGTCTAGTTTGTTGGATAGATTATCTCTCCACCTATGGAACTATCTCACTGACAGCCAGTCTATACGTCTGTCTCTATATATGTCTCTCTGTCTGTTTGTCTGATAGCCTGTCTGCCTTTATGTCTGTCTATCAATCACCATGTTTGTCTGTTTATTTGTCTATCTCTCTATCTCTTTATCTCTCTATCCATCCATCCATTCCTCCCTCGGTCCCTCATTCTCTCCGTCCCTTCATCCATCCATCCATCCATCCATCCATCCATCCATCCATCCATCCGTCGATCTATCATTCTATCCATGTATTTGTCTAATCATCCATCCATCCATCCATCCATCCATCCATCCATCCATCCATCCATCCATCCATCCCTCCATTCATCCGTCCATCCATCCATCCTTCCATCCATTTGTCTTCCCAACAATCACTCAACCCACCCTTGTACTTCCATCAGATGGAAGATTTTCTCGTGGCAAGCCTGCTCTGTGAGCTGCGGTGGGGGCGTGGCGACCCGAGCTGTCAGATGTATGGACACGCTGAGAGACGGGCGACAGCAATGGCTACACGACAGCTTCTGTCCCCACCCCAAGCCCTCGGGGACACGCCCCTGTAACTCCCACATCTGCCCTCGGTGGTACGCGGGGGAGTGGTCACCGGTAAGTTTGAAGAAATACTTTTTTAAAATGATATTGTTGTTGTTTTTTTTAAATTGTTATTATTTTGTTTTGTTTTG